TACATACAATATATACATAGCCTAAATAAATATTATAGATAGATATAATGTATACATAAATTACATAAGTAATATAAACATAATAAATAAATAATACATATTCTAAAAAAAATATATATACACACATTTACAGACTGAGCCCTACAACCTACTGCCGCCTGAATGCTGCTGTGCCAATTCTTCGATTGTATTTCGAAGATGGATCTGACCTCCGTTCAAACCTCCGGCTTTCACGACAGTCCATCACGTCCCTCATCGCTGCTTTGAAGTCAGATTCTGACCATGACTGGGAAAAAGATGTTGAGGTGCTGGTGTTTCTCTACTGGCTGGCCCACGCAGCATCGTACAGGCTGGTGTCACTGGGCTTTGACATCCCAAAGTCCACGGTGCATGGCATTGTGCACAGAATCAGCAGGGCAGTCATCAGTGTTTTGAGGAGGCTGATCGCTTTCCTGACCCCGGATGACCTGGAGGCAGTGGGGGCAGGTTTTGCCCAGCTGGCTGGGTCTCCAGTTTTCCACATGGTAGCTGGTGCAATAGACGGATGCCACATCCGGATCAAGCCACCAGCAAGTGATGCCCCATGCTATTGTAATAGGAAGCTGTTCCACTCTGTTCAGCTGCAGGCCATCACCGACCACGAGGGGAAGTTCCTCGATATCTTTGTTGGATATCCCGGGTCTGAAAAGCACAATATCAAGACAGTCAATTACATTAATTAGATTACTGCATTACTATGACACGGAAAAACATTAGCATGATCAAATCATGAACTAATAAAAATTTTGGGGTTAACTAATTAAAAAAAATAATCTTACTTTATATTTTTGTTTTAGGTTCTCCCACTTTCTTTTGACTTGAGCAGCAGAAATTTTGCCCTCAAGTCCCTGCTCTGTCACAATAAATGCACAGAAATCAAGCATAAAAAGAAGGCAGTAAGACCTTTGCTTGAAGTGTTAGTATTTACTACGTTCAGTGTCAACAGCACCTGAATAAAAGTATATTTTACATAACTTGTTTACTTACTCAAAAACTTTGATGGCAGCATTACGCGTTCCAGTGAAGAGGGCTTCATTAGCCACTCTCCACTGAATAAGGAGCGGAGTGTGTTCATCAGTCCCTGTAATGTCAAAGCAGTAACCATCAGTCATTATCAAACCATTAATGCTACATTGACAAGCTGTGGCATATTTATTAACAGTGTAGCATTGTGTAGGAAATCAACACTTTAATTGACACAACCAATAAAAACTTTAGAATCAGCTGTGGGGCGGAGTTTGCACTGAAGTGGATTGGTGGAAAAAATTGCGCATGCGTGTCATGTGCCGACTGTCAATGGGAGGAAGCCACGCCCTATTTTGGAGCTCCCACCCCATTTTGGAGTTCCCGCCCCCCATTTGGAGCTCTTGAGTCCAGGCTGCAGTTATACCCTTCTCAAAATGTGTGCTGCATGTTTCAAAAAGGCTTGATACAATAACACAATATACACACACGCACACAAACAAATAAATGAATTAAATCAAAGAATAAGTAAGTTCTTTTAAGTTTTTATGCTCAGTGTTGTCTCATAATGTTTCATAATC